TCGGTATAAGGAGCAGGAGAGGAATGGTTTGGCGTGTGTGCGCATGCATGTCCTCTCCCCTATCTTGCCTCCTGTAGCCCAAATTTCTGCCTCATTGCATGGCTTGTGCTGAACATAATGAAGGAAACTCCTTCTGAAGGTGGGATGGATTACAGAGTCCCTGGCACCGTCAGCAATGGCGAAACGGTGCCCGCACATCCCAGCATGGAAAAGGAGAAGAAGGAGGCAGACCAGACCCTGGAGCGAGGGCAGTGGAACAACAAGCTGGAGTACGTCCTGTCCGTGGCTGGGGAGATCATCGGCCTGGGAAATGTTTGGCGCTTCCCCTACCTCTGCTATAAGAATGGGGGAGGTAAGTGCAGCCCTGGCCAGCCGCAGGGGTGCCTGCTCACCAGCATCCCTCTGTGGTCCCTTCTGCCTCTGCGACATCCATGTCTGACCCTGCTCACGCCTGGCAGCAGCTTCTCAGCAATGCCTGAGCCATGAGTCTGAAGAGAGGATGCCATCCTCCTGGTGCAGTGCTACCATCTGGGCTGTTCACAGGGGCTGTTTTGACACAGTAGGACATGGGTGATGAAGCAGTGATGTCCCAAAGTTTCTGGTGGCCCTGTTTCCCTGAGGCGTGTGGAGCCCTAGTCCTGCTGGTGAAGTGGGTGGCCATCAGCAGGAGGAGGCAGGAGGACCTGGGTGAGGGGCTCGGCTCTCTGAGCAGGGTGACTCACCCCAGGCACCTCTTCCCTGAGAAGCACCGGGCATCCTGTGCAAACAAGGTGTCAGGTCCTAAGAAAGCAGCAGGGAGCAGAGCAGGAGGCTGCAGGGCACTGTGGTCCTCACAAGTGCTGTGAAATGCTGCAGCATCTCCTGGAAGCTTGGGGAGCCTCTGAGGGGCTCTTGACCACTGCTCCTGGTCCAGTGTCTGGTCATGGAGAGGTGTCCCTTAGGGATTTGTGCTGAAGCCAGGCAGCAGGAACAGGCCAGAGCGAGGGTTTTCCTTGCCCTGGTGCAGAAGCGCAGCACTTCTCCTGCACCCTGTGGTGCCCTCGCAGCATCCGCTGGAGCTGCAAGTGCATGGGAGAGGGGACTCTGAGCTATGCAGCAGGGCGGTGAGACGTCCAGATGGATGTGTTGGATGGAGAGAGAAGGAGTGGGGCATTGTTGTTGTTGCCAAGGTGCTGGCACATCAGTGCTGCTTGGGCTCTTCCCGGCAGTGCCCGGTGGCTGATCCTCGATGAGGCCAGCCTGCCCCACAGCTTGGCCACGGAGCTGGGCTGGCTTTTGCGGGCGGAGGGTTGCCATGGGCTTTTACAGGTGTTTGTGCCTGCTTTTAGTTTATGGCTGCCTTTTAAGGGAGAAAACTATTTTAAAAAATGAAAGCCCAAAGCTCTTCTCAAATTTGGCTCGGTGGCCCGTGGAAAAGAGGGAGTTGCTCTCCCTGTCTGCTGATTAATTGCTAATTGGGCTCTCCGGAAGGGCAGGGGAGAGGGAAACGGCGCTTGGCTGGGAGCTGGCAGGGACTGAGTGCTGGGGACCCAGGGCTGAAATCCCTTGGCTTGAGTTTGGGGTAGTCTTATGGGCCTCACTAAACTGCTTTCATCCCAGTGGCATACAAGAGGATTAACTGCTGTTTAGCTACTTTGACGCCGTGCTTTGCTCAGCACTTGTTTCTTTTCACCAGGTAGTCAGGCATTTTTCTTTCTCTGTTGAAAAAAGGAGGATTTTTTTGTGTTTTCTTCTTCCCTGGGGAATGTCTTGGCTGCTTGCTGAGCTGTGACTTCTCCTGTTGCTGCATCCTTCCTGTGTGCCATCCTGTCAGGGGGAGCAGGACCCGGGACCCTGTCCTGGCACCCCTTGTCTGGGTGAGCTCGGGGGGGCTTTGGGGAAGGGGGAGCTGCCATGCGTGGTTGGACAGCAGAGGCAAGACACAGAGGGATTTCTCAGCCGTTTCCCCCTGAGAAATGGGTCTGAAGCAAAGCCCTGCGAAACAGTAGAGGCTGTGAGGAGTTTGAAGTCTCAGGCAAATGTTTCATCTCCAGCCCCCTTCCCATAAGGTTAGAGCAAGGATGGGGCACAAGACTCTTGTGCAGAGAGGAAAATGTTTCCCAAATGGCTTTCCTTGGGGCAGGGCAGTGCGATGAGGCTGTGCAGGACTCAGGGCTCCCTCCTGCCTTGTGGAACCCAGCCGGTGCTGTATCACATCCCTTGTAACGCCTCAAGATTCATTCTAAAAGCTGCCAGAGGTTTTGTGTTGTACTCCTTTGGGAAGGCTCATCCAGGCACTTGCTTCTCTGGTACTTCATTAAAGGTGAGGGACCCTTGCTTAATTTCGAGCTCCAGGTCAATCACTGCCAGGCTACAACCATTTGCTCTTACGCCAGCATTACTATCTGGCTGAAATAGCTCTGTCCCACTGGCTGAATTGTTTGTGGGCACTGGTGATAACCGCTCTCAGCTCTTGCTTTGCTGCCCTGAGTAAGTCAGGATCTTCACAAAAAAGGTATCTGCAAAATCCAAGCTATGCAAAGAGGGTCAGGTAGTCACTTCTTTTTTTAGGAGTATTAGAGTAGCCCCTTACATATTAAGCACTTGCTGTCTGACACCAAGGCCCTATAGAATAGGAGAAAAAAAAAAAAAAAGAACAGCAAAAAATGTTCTTTTTGCTCTTGTTCACTCTTGCTTTTATCTCCTGTGGTGGGGTCAGGCCCTCCCTGAGCAGGCTGGCCCTGTTGGTTGGGAAATACCGGGGAAGCCTGTCTGGCTGCCAGTGCCACACCGCCCCCCCCCAGCACTCCCCAAACCCATCCCAAGGGCGCCCCGCGGTCCCTGCATGCACAGAGGGGCCAGGGGCCATGGTGGAGGCCGCGGGTGGCACCATTCCCCCTTCCCTTTCAGCGAGGCAAACCTCTGCCAGGTTTTGGGGTTCACCTGTGGGGAGGCTGGATGGGCTGGAGGG